AAAAACCGGTGATTGTAAAACTAAAATTTTACGGGTTTAGGGAGTCCAATTGTACAAAGTTTTTTTATGTTGATGTAAATGTCCTTAAAGTCAGCTGTATTCATTGCTTACTTTGTCTGTAGCAGCCGCTAAGGTTAGACATGTTTTTATGAGCTTGGTGATATTCATTTGTTAAAAGAAATGAAGCAGTGAATTTGTTCGTGAATTCTTGGTCAAAAACAATACGGTAACGATGCCGCAGCCTCCATACTCGCCAGACATGACTCCATGTGATTTTTTCCAATTTCCAAAAACAAATTATCTGATAATTTTAGAGGCTCTTCTTTATAAACATTTTTATGTCTGGACTAGCCATATTCCCAAATTTAAAGTTTTACTATTTTCAAAACATTCAAAAAGTGGTAATAAAATAGTTTTTTTTCAGACAGTCGCAATTTCATGTAATTTTTTTTTCAAACTTTCCGTAGTTCCAGACTTTGCGACATTATTCTAGATTATTAATTTTTGTTCCTTTTTGTTTTCAGATTGCTAGGAGGGTTGAATCGTGGGTATGGCCACATGCCCCTCACTTTATTAGCTGCTAATTGTTCAAATTGTTAACTTCTTTACTGTTAAATAATTATTAGAAAAATGGATAGTAAAAGTATGAATTGCCTTTTTTTACAACACTTCAAAACTCACCTAAAATTCATGCCTCTAGACTAGAATACCACCTTAAAGAGCCGTCGATTTACAAGCATAGATGACATTAAAAGCGCATTGCTGAAAGGGTTAAAGGCTATCCATCCCAAAAATCGAGTTTGAGAAGTGTATCGATGGTTGGAAGAAGCGCTGGCATAAGTGCATAATATTGAATGGGGACTATTTTTGAAGCTGACAACATTAATGTAGACATATGAATAAATATTAAAAAAAATTAGGATTCCCGTTACTTTCTGAATACAGCTCGTATATAAAATTTTTGTCTGCTAATTTCAAAAATATAGGCTATCAAAATATGCAAAAACATAAAAATTATTATTCGGATTTTCACAATATGTGAGCCCCTAAAATCTCTGCGTAAGTATTTTGAACTAAAATTCACACATATAGTAGTAAGAGTAATCTTCAGAATAAAAAGTTTGTTTTTTTAGTTACCGAATGTCTGTGGGAGGATCAATCTTGCGTCCGAGTCAATCCGTTGAATTGCGTTAATAAAAACACCATATTTCATTTAAACGAATTTTCACTTTATTAAAATTAATTCATCAATAATCTTTAGTTTAATAAAATAAATGTAGGTAAATATTTTTTAGTTTGTTGTTTTCATCTCTTTGTAAATTCGATATACATGTGTAGTACATATGAATGCCTGTATGTATGTATGTTGTAGCGTATAAATAAAATAATTACAATAACATTTTTAATTATAGTTGATATCATATAAAATATATTCACATTCATGTGTGCTGATTACGCTGGATTTGTGCTGCCTTCCCTCTTTAATATCGTGCGTGAGTGTATATGAATTTTTTTTTTTAAACTTTGGCAGCTAGACATACACATACATATGTACAAATACATACTGACGCAATTGGTAAAAATATCTCATGTAAAAAATGTGTTTTAACAAAATAATGACATACAAATACATACATATATAAATAATAATAGGATATTTAGTACAAGAAAGACTAAAAAACGAAATGTAATAATATACAGTTACACATCATTACAATATCAACTAAAATACAATTACATAACTGAGAGACTTATACTCGTATAAAATATACAGCTGCACTTCTGTCGGAAATCAACACGTAGGTTTAACGCTAACGAAAATAAATACTGCACACATACTACATATACTTGTAAAATAGAGATGATCCTATAAATTATAATTAATACACGTACATTTGGCGTATTAAGTGAGCAGGAGAGGCTTAGCCGAATAATTCGATTTTTGGTTATAAGGACGTCACATTGTTGTAAAATATGCACATTGGGCATATTTTGCTATTCTTTTTATAAAACTGTACAAACAAAGTATACCGGACCCGCACATATGTATATTATATATACGATACGATCGTATATCAAATTTTTGTGGTCATACATTTGTTTGGATTTCAATATTAAAATTAATTTAAAATTAAGCGTTATGGCCCACTAATCGGCACATATATTTGTTGACGTATTGCTAACGGTTTTTTGTATTTTCAGTGTTTTTTTTTGTTTATTTAATTGAATTCGTATGTTGTGATGAAGGCCAGTATCGACGACTAAAAGTACCAGTTTTGAATTGGTTTGTGTTATATATATATATATCCATTTTGTTAGTGTATGTTTGTCACTTTCGGGTTCCATTACTTTCAATACATTTATATAATATAATTGTTATTGACTATATCTAGTTACTACAAGGTTTTTAGTACGCGATATTATGTAGTAAACATTTAATTATTATTTGATGCGATTGCAACATTTCCTTATCTCGAATATCTCGAATATCTCAAAGTCCATAGCTAGAAGATATTCAAGTTGAAATGTTAATTAAGCACTAAATATATTGACTCTGTCTCCAAGTTATTAATATTAGGTTGTTTTCATTAATAGTTGAAACGTGTTAATTATGAAGATTTAAAATTGCATGAAAAAGTTCAGAGGCGATTAGAGTCCATGGAAAGCGTTTGCCTCAAATCTATAAAGATGAAAAAGAAAAATTTTGATTAGCTTTTGTTTTATGTCGTTATGAAAAGGAACAATTACTATTAAATTACAGCAAACTATGAATACACACATTGAAATGATAGTAGTAGATCAAAAAGCAAATAATATAAAAAAAAAATTAAATTGAATAAAAAATTATACGTTACAAAGAGTTGATACTTTATCAGAGACCGCACTAAATCTAAGTTATATTAATTAGTTTGCAGGAAGAGAAAATTACAAACAGTTTGAAGAAATCGATAGATACAATGAAATAAGCTAAAGTTTCCAAACCAGTTCCGTAGCGACACACGTACATACGTACGTTTTTACTTACATTTTTTGTTTGTTTTATATCTCAACTTTAATATGTTTTATTTAAATCATATCATCATATATATAATCACATTTCAAGATTATATTCTGTCATTATTATTAATCATAAAAATGATATATATGTTAATTGGCATTTAAAGTAATTGGTAGTAACACCGCTAAGCCATATAAATAATTAAATAATGACGTTAAGCGAAGATTTATAGAAAATTATTTAGTTATTAAATCTAATAATTATATTTTGTTTTTAATAAAAATAAAACCAAACATGTATTTTTTACAAAAACAAAACTATATACATGAATATACTTATAAAAACCAAATAAAATTTTAAGTCAGTCAAATCATTCACTATATTTTTTGTTAAGTGTTGTGTCCTCTATAACACCCCGTCGTGCTTTTGAACTTCTGTCAAAATTTGGATCATCACCACAAATTGATCCATTATTTCTTGTATAGTGGTCAAATGCCATCGAAAGTTCTTTTTGCACTTCTTCCCTTCTATTACTATTTTTGTTTTCTTCTTGCTTAGCTTATTCCTTGAGCTCGTTATTAGAAAAACTAGCTGCTGTTCCTTGAACTATTTCACATATTATTATTTAACTTTTAAGGAAAAATTATTCAGAATTAATTTAAAGTAAAGCTAAAAAGGAAACAAATTAAGAATTTGAACTAGTTTTAGACATTAGTAATATATAATTTTTTTCTTAGTCTATATAATATGTGTATATATGTATATAAGACTAAACCATTGGTTTTCTTATGCTTTGAATCTCACAAATTTTTCTGCTATTTAGTTGAAGTAATTTGTTTGCCTTATTTAAAATATATTAAAACAAAAAATAAAAAATTTCAGTTAAATAATAAAATAGTTATTATGAAAAATCAATTAAATTTTGCCATATAAAATATATAAAAACCAAAAGAAAATAAAATTAATGCAGAAAGAATTGTGCTTGAAAAGGTTAATGTGCAACTATTTGCTGCACTTACATTTGATTCATCGTTGTTGTGAACCGCTGCATTAACTGCTCCATACGCACCTGCAACACCACCCACTAAATTAATGCCATCTGCGGAGACTGCTGGCGCCGACGACATAAAGTTCAGTGCTGTGGAAAGTTCGGCACCGGAACTGGTTGGTCTCAAAGCAGCGCGTTTGGCTACAATTTCTAACATCTCATTTAGTATAGCACCTTCGGCTGCAACATCGGCAGAGCTTTTATCTAATTCTGCAGAAAGTAAATAAACAAAAGTCATCATAAAGTCATTGTGTAATATTATTATCAGTCTTTTTTATTTTGAATTGTTTTCGTTTTAAGAAAAAATAATATTTTTAGACGAAAATAAATATTTGTGCTGAAAATAAAACGAAATACAATTTTAATACAAATATTGGAAGTTTGTGTAGCCGATTATTGCGTCAGATATTCAATAGGGTTTTCTAGCAATCGTTAGAAATACTTTAAATTCACTATTTACCAACGATAATCCGTTAAGTGATTTCAAATTCAAATTCTAATTGCACATAAATATTACAAGTAGAATATTAAATACATTTATAAATTTGCTGTTTTCCTTACAAAAAAATAAAAATATTTAATAAGAAGGCGATATATAATTTTTCAAGATACATATGTATGTATATATGTATTTTAGGGTTAGTTAAAGTTGTGCTGAGCAAAATCTGAAATCTTTTGGTAAATAACGGACACCCGAATGTATATATTATATTCAACTTACTATTGAAAGACAATCTCAAGTTGAGCTCTTCCTTTAACTGCGCATGCCGATGCTCTAATTGCAATTCTTGCTGACGTATACTCAGCTCCTCATCGCGTTTTCTGAGCACAAAAGATAACAGTGAAGGCATTAGGCATTAACACTTTAAATTAACAAACTACATTTCAAAAGTATAATTTTATAATAAATTATCTGGTACATAGTATTGTTTTAATTTTCATATATGTTCTTACTTAAGTTGTTTTATATTGCGCCAGATCTCCAATAGCTCCTTGAGTAGTTTTTCATCATTGCTGCCGATATTAGTTGTGTCAAAACTGCAAAAAAGGAAAAACACAACAAAAAAAATATATAAAAGTTATGTCGTATTATGTAAATTGCTAATAATAATAGTTTTCCGTGATGGCAACTTACTTGCTGTTATGCTGTTCACTCTCACCGCGCAATGCCTTCTCAATTAGAACGCCACGCGCCTCCAACTCCTTCAATTGCACCTCGATTTCCTCCTGCTCACGCTGAATCTCCTGAGCGATTCTGAGTCGCTTGAGCTCAGCTTGTCGAACAGCCTTCGATATGGCACGCTGCCGCTTCTGCTCACGTGTTTCGGTTGCGTTGCTCTCATCTTGAAATACGTGCAAAATACCATTATAATTAGTACTTATGAAACTATTAAATACTAAGTAAAAGTTGAATGGTGTACATTCGAATGAACGATTTACAATAGCAAAAACAATACCGTTGGAATAACGTTAAAACGAAAGAAAGAAAAAAGAAAGTATGTGTGTAAAACAAACCATCGGATCTCTGGTAATTGAGTGGCAAAGGAGGAATGGGCGGTGGTGCCGGCTCGTCGATGTCATGTGTCGCCACATATTTCGGCCTGTGGATAAACAATTGTGGACTGGATGATGAGAGCGCCGCTATTGATGACTTTTTGTTGCCGCTCTTTGTTGGTGTTGTGTTCAAATGTATATTGCTATTTGATGAGCTCGCATTTGATAATCCAGTGTTGTTGTGTAATTGGGCTTCAAAGAGATAGTCGTCTTTGTCCTAATGGCGTGTTTTTTGTTTTTATTTATTTTTCCAATTAGATATAAATTTATTTCAAAAATTGTTTTGGTTTTAAAAGTGATTTTCAATTATATTAATTTTTTTTGTATATTTTTTTAAATTTTAATGTTGTTATTTGTTATTATTGTTTGTATGTATTTGTTTCGGTGATGTTTTTTAAGCCGTGCGCGCAATGATGTTTCATAGCAAAATGCAGCAGCATTGTCAGCGGCGTGAAATTAAAAAACATGATGATTTTAAATTTTAGTAATATTGCACATTTTAGTTTAGCTATCGGAAATGAGGCATGAGATTGTGTTGTTACAACTTAGCGCCAACTAGCTCTACGCCAAGCTTAATATCTGTACATCAATATGAAAATTAGTGTATATTTCCTCCAAAAACAGAAAATGCAAGCGAAATAATTCAATATAAACAATTACATGCGCCAAATTAAAAATAATAACAACAATTACAGTGAACATTGAAGACGTTGTTTATAATTTACTATACCACTCAAATATTTGTTTCACAAATATATATGTATATAAAAGAAATTGCATCTATCATTTTGAATAGAAAGCAAAAGTTGGGTTTTTTGAAAGTTTATGGTGACTTCTCAAGTACGAACTCAAGTCATTTAAAATAATAAAAAACGTTAACTTCGGCTGCAGCTTCTTGGCAAGAAATGGACGTGTACAAAATCCAGATCGGATCAGATCGATAGCTGAAAAACTGAGAGATTAGTTCGCCTATATACAGACAGACGGACGGAGGGACAGACAGATTGACGGTGCTAAATCGACTCAGCTCGTCATGCTACTTATGTATATACTTTATAGAGTCTCCGAATTTTCCTTCTGGATCTTACAAACTTGGTGGCAAACTTAACAGACCCTGTTCAGTATATATAAATTGGCCTGTAACGAAAAGCTTAACCGTTTGTAGTTAATAATTTGTTCAACTCGCACTCAAGTTGAGCCCTTATAAGATTTGAAGAAGTGTTAACAAGATGAAAATTGATCAGTATATACACGAATTAACTATTTATACAAATATATATTTATGTTTCATTTCATTTAGCAATAATACCATATATACAAAAGTAACATATACATACATGCATCCAAACTCCCAAACGAAACCGAATTCATAACATAAAATTGCTTTATGATTAAAAAATAATAATTTATTTGAAATCAAACTTAAATGTAAAATAATAATTATTATAAAACATAAAAATATAACAAATGTAAGTAATAAACTAAAAAAAGTTGTCGACGCAGTACCGCCTCATAACCTCAAATTCATAATAATTCTTTATCATTAAAATGATTATTGAAAATTGTAAAAAACACCTTTTTCATGCCGATTTATATTAATTGTATATAGGCGGGTGCAAGCATGCATGTCGAATCATTTTGAATGTGATGAATTTTTTTTAAATATAATTTATAAATAAAAATAAAAAGATATGGATTCAAGCAAATATATATTTACGTAATCGTTGACTTTATTTCGATTTATGGCTGACATTATACATTTCATTGTATGGCACATATATACATATTCCAGTATGTACGTACGACCTATGCTAGTATACATATATATGTATTATATGGATATGTAAATTTTCTTTATATAAATCGCTTATATTTGTGTTATTAAAAAAGTGTATAATATTTGTATGTATATATGTATGTATATAAATGATAAATACTTCATAAACTAAAGAAAAAAACATAACTATAGAGCAATAATAATATTATATTTTTTAACTTTAATATATTTCACTAAAATAAAAATAAAATAGTTGTATCTCATTTGTGCCCACAAGCAAGTGGATGGAGTAGAAGAAGTGTTGTGGAGTGGATTGTTCTGAATTGTAGAGTTTAAAAAAGACGTATTGCAAATGTTCACCTCTGACACTCAAACATACATACATACATACGCATATGTATGAAGTCGCTAAGTGTCAAGGTGAACACACGAACTTTCTCCTTTACCCTACATGTGCAATAAAATCTATTTATTCTGTAAGAAAAAAATAAAAAAGAGGGAAACAAAAGAAATAATAATTAAACTCCGAAAATGTTTGAATTACAAACGAAAAATTAAAATCAAAATCAACAATTTTGTTAGAAAGCTCACATTATGTACGTGCATTAACGACGTGCCAAATGTAAATATATGTAGGTGCATGCGCCCACATATTTACATACATATGTATGTATGTGTGTGCGTGCTGGAGACTGTTGCAATGCACTGGGTGCTGTGTGCATCGGCAAGAATACTAAACCAAAAATTAAGCAGTGCAATTAAAAGACAAAATATGCGTTTATTTGCGTGTCACAAACAGGTGAACATATGTATGCGCGTGCGTTTAGTACGGCAAACGCCTCGAATGCACAAAATGCAGGTATGTTGTGCGAGCAAATATTTTATACAATGAATTTGGTGACTATTACACGAGCAAGCATGCGAAAAAGAAAAAAATTAATAATATTAAAAACGAAAAAACAAAAATAAAATAAAATTAATGTGCGTATATACAGCCATGGACACATAAATAACCACAAATGCGAATCAAATATTGCATATAATTGTTTAAAACATAAATTAGCTTAAAACTAAAAATGTCGTATGTATCTACTTTTACCGTTATGAAGCTCTTATCCCTGCACAAAAGTACCGTTTTCTTTCTATTAAAAATTTTATTGCGTATAAGGTTGCTTTGATCTGGACATATAAATAGCACATTTATAAGTACATTGTTTACTATGAAATTTGTGTCAAGTTCTCCCGTGTGTTTAGTTTTATTTTGGGAACCAATCATTATTTCGTCGATATTTTGTAAAAAAATAGAACGGGGAAAACATTGCACACCAGAAAAGACGACACAACGAAGCCCGACCTTTTGGATGAATTAGCAGGAAGAAACCATTCCTGGCAAAACGCCACACCAAAAGTCAACTGGCATTTGCAAAGGACGGGTCCCGATAGAAAAACAATTGTACGTCGTCTACAAGGTCAAGCCCTGAACACTAGGTGTACCAAAAAGACCATTAAGCACTGTGCTGGAAGTATCAGGGTCTAGGGCGTGTTTTTATGGTATGGCGTCAGGCGAATTGTTACCATAAATGGTAAAATGGACCGGTATTAGCATTTGGATATACTTAGAAATATAATGGAACTATTTGTATTTGAATCCATTCCCATAAACTGAACATTTATGCAGGACAATGATCCAAAGTACATCGCCAAAGTAGTAAGGCATTGACACGACAAGAAGAAAATTAGGTTGATTATAGGCTGGAATTGAGGATTCCAGGTATTCAACCACCAAGCAACGTTGTAAAAACTGGTGGAAAGCATGAACCAAAGACGTGAAGGGGTGATTAAAAATAGTGAAAATAGCACAAAACACTAACCAAATGAGCAATCTTATGCTAATTTTTATTCATTTGGATAATTTTGTGTACTTTTTTGTCAATTCTTTTTAGATTGTGCTATTTAGGTGTCCTAGCTGCCATATAGGATATTGATGTTTTCGTCTATTTTTTATTGATAATAGAATAATTATTGATTTTGTGTTTTACTAATATGAAAGTTAATAATTTTTAAAGTGAAATGTCTCTTTAAATCCATAAGTGCTACACTTATGAAATAAATAACCGTTTTTTTATTTGACGACCAAGTGTGCAATTTATGTGTCAATGGCTGTAAGTGTTTGTATGTTATGTATATCAATATTTAGATATGTTTGAATTAAGACTTCTAAAGTTTACTTGGGAAATATCTAACCAAAATTTTAATTTCTATCTCCTATTCTAAAGTCTTACTAAAATACTTGCAGCTTAGTTAGTCTATTAATAACAAATCAAAAAATAAATTAGCTGAATTGAAATGTTTTTTAACTTATTTTTTAACGGATTTTTAAATTACACATGCAATAAATTTTGCGACAATAAAATACGAGGCGCTATAATATTATAATGTTTTGAATATATGAACATATGTATTTTTTGTTGATTAGAAAGAGCTCCTAACCGTTTGGCGATGATGGCTGCCAATGCTTTTTATTTTGAGTTGATAGTGCGACTCATAGGTGACAATCGCATACAAAATTATTTGGTTTAATTTAGCGAGAAAAACGTTTTTCAACTTTTGAATGGGCTTGGAAAAGCGATTTTCTTTTCTGGACTAAATCCATTGTCAACCAGTTCGGAAATTAAAAACAGATATTTGTGCAAATTTTCCGAGTCATAACAACGCAACAATTTGGTAAATTCAAAGATAGGAAAAGGAGATAGACAAATGGACTGAAATTTAAAAAAATTTTTTTTTTTTTTGGTTCGATCAGAACAGGGTTGCGAATTTTTTATTTAGAAAATTTTAGATTAAAAATTAGATTTTCCATTTTTAATTTTAATTTTGAGAATATTTCGGATTAGAATTTTTTTTTTTGAATAAAAATTTTCCGAATTACAAAATAAAAAAAAAATCTATTTAAATGTTAATTCAATTATTTTTTAATATATTATTTGTAACCCTGATCAAAATCGGTGGCAGTAGTACAGCTACTTAGTTATGAATATTTTTATGTTTTTATAAAACACCGTGCCAGTATAAATATTATATACCTAATTCTTCTCAAAACCAAAACTTCAAGTTTATTGCAACCTGAATATAGTATTTTCTTATTGACTTCTTCATTATATTTTAAAAAATTAATACATTTTTTTAAAATAAATTGTATTAAATCCCTAAAATCAGATTACTTCTATAACTTGCTAATACCAATACGTCAACTGAAAGTTAACACCAATATGTTGTAACTACAGCTACAAATATTCACTGCAGTTATTATTTTACTTCCGATTAAATTAAATTATTATCGTCGACAACTTTTATTAATTGATGTACATAGAAGTAACTACGAAATACTAACTACATACAATACTTGTAGATAGAAAATAAAATAAGTGAAAAAATTACACTAATTTGTAATTTAAGAGCAAAAATAAAGTATTTCTAAAGATAAAAATGCTCTGCCTACAAACAACGATTCTTCTAAAAATAATGGTGTGAAAAATTATGAAAACTATTTTATTTATTTTTTTTGTAATTTTCGCTTATGCAGCAAAATTTTAAAATGCCAATTTAATGTTAATTTGGAATAGAAGCGTTTAAAAAAGGCATTCACATGCATAAGCGAAAAGAAAACATTATTGCAAATCGAAGCAAATAAACTAAGAAATACAAGTAGAGAGCTCAAAAAATGTTAAGCTTACACCAAAACCGATACTCCTGACATCGAAGCAAGACTGCAAAAACGAAAGATTCGGGTTAATTGATTGTTACGCAGATATGTACATATATATAAGTTGCCAAGATTTTATCACATAGATTATAGCAGAATTATATGATATACTTGTAGTATTTACGTTTATAAATATGTACACTAAGCTGAAGTGTAAAAGAACAATAAATTTTATCAAGCAAAAATTTAGTTTCAAGTTTTTATGTTTTTATACTCTCGCAACCTGTTGCTACAGAGTATAATAGTTTTGTTCACCTAACGGTTGTTTGTATCACCTAAAATTAATCGAGTTAGATATAGGGTTATATATATATAAATGATCAGGATGAAGAGACGAGTTGAAATCCGGGTGACTGTCTGTCCGTCCGTCCGTCTGTCCGTCCGTCCGTCCGTGCAAGCTCTAACTTGAGTAAAAATTGAGATATCTTTATGAAACTTGGTAGACATGTTTCATGGTACCGTGAGACGGTTGGTATTGCAGATGGGCGTAATCGGACCACTGCCACGCCCACAAAACGCCATTAATCAAAAACAAATAACTTGCCATAACTAAGCTCCGCAATAAGATACAAGACTGTTATTTGGTACACAGGATCACATTAGGGAGGGGCATCTGCAGTTAAATTTTTTTTAAAAAAGTGGGCGTGGTCCCGCCTCTAATAGGTTTAATGTGCATATCTCCTAAACCGCTAATGCTATAATAACAAAATTCACTGGAAGCAAATGTTTTTAGCACTTCTATTGACGGTGTGAAAATAGTTGAAATCGGGTGGCAACTCCGCCCACTCCCCATATAACGGTACTGTTAAAAACTACTAAAAGCGCGATAAATCAAGCACTAAACACGCCAGAGACATTAAATTTGATCTCTGAGATGGTATAAGATGACTTTATAGGAACCGCGTTCAAAATTAGACAGTGGGCGTGGCACAGCCCACTTTTAGGTGAAAACCCATATCTTGAGATCTGCTCAACCGATTTCAACCAAATTCGGTGCATAACGTTCTTTTCATGTTTCTATGTCATAGTGCGAAAATGGGCGAAATCGGACTACAACCACGCTTACTTCCCATGTAACACCATTTTCAATTCCATCTGATTCTTTCACATTCCACTATGCAAATCAGGTAAAAATGATTATATCGGGGTAAAACTTTGCGTGAATAATGCAATTAAAGTATGCCACCTTGCGGCCAAAAATTGTCTAAATCGAACCAAAACTGTTCAAACCCCTAAGTACTAAATATGTGGACCCCAGTGCCTATAGTTGACCTTCTACCCGAAAATATCAGTCAATCCACAAAGAAATCTCAAACGAGTATACCATTTGACATTGCGAGAGTATAAAATGTTCGGTTACATCCGAACTTAGCCCTTCCTTACTTGTTACTGAATATTTTTTTTTTTTTTGAAACATTACAATTATATTTTGAGTTGAAGCAAAAGGCTTTTAAGAGTAGTTAGTTTATATTAAATTGCCCGGAAATTACTTCAGCTTATTGTACATTCTTAACCAATAATAACATATTGATGACATGCCTAAATAATACAACACAAATACACAAATTAAGTCAACGAATCCAAACTTAATGAAGATACAAAAGTAAGGAATTTCGTATAAAATCCAAATTCTGTTAATGTTATAAAAAGCCTCAATTCAATTTTAAATATATGTACCCAGCTTTTTTATAGTCTTAAGGTTGCATCTTCACTGAATTAAGATTTTTAAATGGATTATATATTATTAATATTTACTGTACAGCTTAAATTTACTTAACACACACACATACATGTCATTCCACCACCAAACATTTGACTTCCAGCACACGATCAACAGCAGCTAGCGGCGAATATTACAGGGAATGTGAGTGAGAAAATACACACATACACATACACACACATACATCAGACAAGGCTACAAAAGGCAGGGGGGCAATTGGAAAGCCGTTTACTAACCTTGGATTTCTGTTTAGTTTTGGGCGATATGCGGAAGCGGCTAAAAACGCCCATATCAATGCCGCCCGAAGCTGTTGTGCCATTGTTGCCACTAGTTCCCGGACGCTCTGACTGTGCAGAGCCAACTACGCTAGTTGCGCTACCACCACCACCGTTACCAGTGTCCTTTTTCTCCTTATGAAAGAAGCTGGATAATGATTGTATCAAACTCTTACGACGTTCGGGATCCTTTTGCCTGCGACTGGTCTTGCCTTTGGCCGCCACTTTGTTATTGATGCTTCCACTGCTGGACTGAATGGAGGTGGAAGAGAGTAGCAAATTTGGATCAGATGTGAAATCGGCAGTGGCGCCGGTTGGTTTTGTATTCGAATTGACATCGGGAGATAATTCCGATTGTTTGCTCGTCAAGTAAGCTAAATCGTTCACACTCTTCGATGCGCTCAACCGGCGATCACATATGCCCTGTTCTTCCGTATCGTTTGGTGATTTGAGTGGAACTTGTGAATGTAGTGTGGTAGCAGTGTTATTTTTGGTTTCCAAGTGTTCGAGATGCAAACGTTGGCGCAATAATTGCATTTTGTCCTCTGGGCTGAGACCGAGTTCAGTGTTCGATTTGAGTCGAGCACGAGCGCGTGCTTCGGTGCGTAAATTCTCAGTCGACGCCGAAAGTGAGCTATCTACACTTAAGGTAGAAATTAAGGGCCTTTGATTACGACTATGACGCGCAGGTGCAACTGGTGTCACAAAGTTGTAAGCATTTTCATTCTTCAATGTTATTTTGCTAGATTGATTCGGTAAGCCGTACGAAAACGATGGAGTTTTTGTCAATTTGTATCTCTCGAATGCATCCAGTTGCTCGCTGGTCAAGTGTTCGCTGAAGGGTCGTTGATGGTAACCAATAATGCGGGTTGGCGAGCCGCCGGACATTCCATAGGCCGATACATATGTCGATGACTTTTGTAGTGGTATGCTATCTCTGAAATTTGAGCAGTTTGAACGTTCTTCTGTGTCCCTTGCTAAAGTCGTCGACGGCGTCGCTGCTGTGGATTCATGATAGTGCGCACGGCTGGTGCAATTGGTGTCGGTAGTTGTGGTTGCTGCCGCGATTTTCGGTGTAGGACTTAGACTAGAGCCACTTGCGTAACCGCTTGTTAGCATAGTGCGTTGGCGACTGCGATGCAAGCGTTTTTCAGCATTTAACTGTTTCTTTGATTGTAGTTTGTCCATGACTAGGTCATGTATCAGGTCCTTCTGCTTGGTGCGCTCTTTAGTGATCTCCTCTAGCTTGCGTGTTAATGTCGGAATTTCAGGTACCTTGTGGATTTGTGTCGCCGCTGCGGAAGGACTGGCAGTTGCCGTTAGACAAGCATTATTGACAATCACGTTTTCCGATTCGACTGGTGTTGCTTCTATCACAGTTTGAGCATTTCCGGCGGGCATTTCACCCTTGGAACTCTTTCGCCTTTGTTTGCGCAGATCGGAATCACGAGCCGTACTAATTTGTGTAATTTTTTGCTGCAACGCACGCACACATTCCTCATAGGATAGCTCATTTGAGGGTTTACGTGGTGCTGCTTTCGGTGCAGGCGCCGACGGTGCAACATTTTCTTGTGAGACACTATGTAGAGGTATTACTTTATTGGAAGAGGCAGTGGAACTACTCGCTGTTGTGCATGTTGACTGTGAGGTTTTTGGATTCTTATCTGAACTGCTGGGCGTGGAACCAGTGTTCAATTCAGCGCCTTTATTTACAATATAAGTACTGTTGAGCACATCGGCTACTTTTGGTGAAGATGAGTCAAGCGGGCTGGTTACTACGGTTAATGCTTCACTCTCTTCCGTTGTGGTCTTAGTAGTAGTGGCGGTCGATAACTGAATTTGAGAGTTTGGTGTTGCTGTGAAGAGACTGTCATCCTCCAGGTCATTAAGTGTACTGGAATCGGTCAGTGATTGTGTCATGAGTGACGGCGGACCTGTGGTTTGCGACTTTTCCGCCAGCGATGCTACCAAATGTGGCTCTTCATTCACAGGGGTCTTAAGCATATCATGCTCATGATCGTCGTTTTTTAAGATATAAGCTCCCTGTTCAATGTAATCTATACCAAGTTTCTCATCACGCTTGGCAGCAACTGGCTTGTGTGTATTAGCTGCAGATTTAAAAGTATTTGTTTTGTGCGTAGGTGTTTGCTTTGGTGTGGTTTCGATAAACTCCACGTAGCCGCGATTCCGCAATAGTGCTGTGTTGGTAGCAGAATATCCTTCCGCACATGAACTCTCAGAACCGGTATCCATAAATTCGATATCATCAATATCGATAGATTTCAGTATGCCCTCAAATTCCGCAACCGGCGCTGTTTTGTTTATCTCACCCAGCATTTCAATAGTGGTCGGCAATTTCGAAGTTGCAGACATACGTCTTTTCTCTTTTTTATTACGTTTAATAGTTCCCTTGTTAGAGTTCAGCACGAATTCCATATCAATGAAATTCTCGGAAATACAATCGTCCGCTGTCCAGTCCGACAACTCGGTTTCAGTTAGCGCCTGACCGGTTCCAGTCAATTCGGTTTCTGAGTCGGATCCGCGCGACATTAGTTCGCCAGTCGGTGTTATATCACTGTCCACAAGCGGTGAATTTGGTGTGCGGTCAATAGCAGAGCAAGCGTTTGTGACTGTAGGTGTTGTGGGCGTGTTTGGTGATTTTTGAACAGTACTCAAATTTAACGTAAGTGGCTTCACCGCTTTTGTATGCTCCACTGTTTGTTCGACGATTAAAGGAAGATGTTTAAGACTTTCTACCTTATTTTCGTTTTTAGTATCGAATTTAAGGTTAGATGTCTTTATATTTGGCGGCCCCCGTTCTGGCAATGGCGGACCTTTCGCAGGTAATGGCGGTAATTGTTCTTCCGTATACGCATCCTCTGTCTCTTCATCTTTATCTAATTTATTTGTTTCAGCCTCGATCACCGTACACTCTATTGGTTCGGGTGTTGCAGTAACTGGTTCCACATCAGCTTCGGTTTCATCCTCGATCTCCGATGTCTTGATGGTGGGCGGCTCAGGCACAACTATGCCCGCGGGTATTTCCAAGTATTTCAGATCTTCTGGATCACCAATATATTTACCATCAATTATCATCAGACTATCAATTTGCATTAGTGTTCCTGATGTGTCATGAATTTCTACACGTGGCACTTGATGTCCAATGGCCATACCGCCGGTTTGTGTATCCGGACTAGTCGTTGACTCTAATATATAGTGTTGTATATCTTCAATGCTCGATGAGCCAGATGTGCAGCTGGAGCCTTCGGTTGATGACATTGTGTCCGTTTTGCGTGTGCCCCAAGGTATGTTCGGCACTTGTATTTGTAACGTATCGTTCTCGAAAAGTTCTTCGAGTTTTTCTGGTGAATCCATTTTCTCCTCGTCGCAAGAGTGACTCAAAAGTTGTTGTTGATCCTCTGCATGCCGCAATGGTGTTGTCTTACCTGCTGATTTTACTTCCTGTCCAATATGACCTAGTAAATCGGGTATTCTTTCTTTAACATCTTTCGAAACATCTGGCTTCAGTTCTTCTATTATGGTGTTGTCACTTTTTACTGGTGATTCACATGTAAGATCTATAATTTTATTACTATCGGCAGTGAGTAATGCATCATAGTTTTCAGGGGAATTAGGTTTCTTTTCAGCATCGTCAACATTAATGTTCTCAATGAAATCGATATTCGATTCCAACATTTTCGCTGGTATGTCTACATTCGTAATATCTATTATAGACTTTGGCTTTTCCTTGTCTGGGGTAACTAAATCTATTGTGCCCAAAATGGTGTGACTATTAGTTGGTGTTGAAGGTGATTTTTTGTTGTTGACAGTTTCGACTAGAGTCGTATTAACAGTCTCAGAATATTCCATGCCTTTATTCAGCTCATTTTTACTATTCACAAAAACGTTTTCCTTCTCATTGTCCGTCGAGGCAGTGGACGAGGCCTTCTGTATCGTAATTTCAACTTTTAGATCGTTCAAAATGTTTGTTGTTGCCGAACGCATCAAATCGTTGTTTGTACTTTCGCCTAACTTTGTACGATCTAAAAATGTTTTCATGCTGGCTGAAATGCCGCTACCTGGGTTCAGTAGTTTTTGGCATTCGGATATATTCGACTGGAAACTACGTATACGTGAGTCGAGGACAGAAGTAGAGCCAGATTTTTGTATCTTATTGCCATTGCCCTGTTCACCAAGCAAATAACGTTTCTTGAGCTCTAAACTTTTCTTTGAGGCGATGCCTTCCGTACTGGCCGTTTTATTGAGCAGATAATCGCCGGGACGTGGATTTTGTAAGGGAGTACGGGTTTTTGTTAAGAGCGTGGGATCCACCTGCACAAGTGGTTTGAATTGTGGTTGTGGTGGGTTCACTTGATACTTCTGCAGATAACTGCCTCTCAAGTTGTGGGCATTAGCAATGTTGGTGGATGGTATGTGATGTCGTTGACTGGCAGTCGAAGCAATAACGGTAGATTTTACCTGTAATAATATTAGTTAGGATACAAGTATAAGTAATGTGTAGTTTTTACGCAATCTTACTTGAACTTTTGTTGGTTTTCTGAGGTGAGTATCATCGATGAATATTTTAGGGGTCTCACGTATTATTTCATCGTGATCGAACTCCGAATCAGTGGAAATTTCCGTGGCTGAATTGAGTTCGACCTCCTCGGGAGATGTCGACTCAGATTCGCTTTGAACCTGTAAAAAATAATTGTATATTATTTAATTGTCGAATCGCTAGTTTATTTATTTATTCAATGAAAAAACAAATACCAACGAATATACAAAAAAGGCCGTGAATGTTTTGTACCAATACACAGTCATAAACAAAACAAGGCAGTGAGTAGTCGGATTTGTGAATTTTTGCTTGTGGTCTCTTCGGATTAGCGGTTTAGTCGATATTTTAGTCGTGTTGCGAATTTGGAAGCAAATGGATTCGCAAAATGCATGCAAAACGATGGGAGCAGTGATATTTCAATTCATTACACAACAATCAGCAAATGAGGTACGATCCAAAAAGGCACAGCACAAATGAGCACAAGTACTACACTTGAGGAACGCATTTATAAATGTTTTGATTAATTTATTAATTAAAAAGTATAGGTATTAGCATAGAACGCAGCAAAGTTGGTTAAGTAACGCTAACAGTGGGTTAAAGTCAGTTCAGCGCACAATGGACGCACGCCTTGTTGTGCCCGCACATCATTCCGGATTAACTGAACGACGCACGTAAAACTCGAGTTGGATTTCGAGAGCAAACAAAGGTAGCTAACTTTGAAGCAGTTATTAAGTATAGCTTAATACACACTTGTACGCCAAAGCGGTATTGGTTTGGTTGGGTTAAGTATTAGTTCTTTTTTACCTTCAAAGATCGTACCCGGTGGTTATTGAGTGTTAGGCCTCAACTTCTCTTATAGCACTTTGTCATAATTTTTGTTTTAAGTTTTTCAACTCCTCTTCCGCTCTTAAATGTGAATGTGTGGGAGATAATTTTGTTAACCGCATTCAAGGACTCATTCAATTTGTATCTGAGGCACACCGAGCATAAAAAAGCTGGCGGGCGGTTAGGCAGACGTTTTTTGGTTGAATGGTTGTTGGTTGGTTGCTCGGTCTGTAGGTTGGTCGTTGGAGGGTCGTACGTACGGGCATTGCAACGATTTTTTTTTTTTTTGTTTTTGTTTATGTTTGTGTTTACGTTTATATGTTTATTTAAATTGATTACGTTAATTCTTTGGAGCGTGTAATTGCTAGTTAAAGATTTTGATATGTGTATGTTGTACTATTTTGTTTAGTCTGGCGTTGGTTTCATTACATTAGTTTGTTATTAAATTTTTTTAATTCAAAAATTTTCAAAATTCTTACAAATATGTGAATGTACTTTTGTTTTCATATTGTTTCATTCGTTATTCGAGCCAAAATATGGGTGTTTTTTTTTTCTTTTCTTTGAAGTTTCTCTTTGGCTCTCTGAGTTTTTCTTCGTGTTATAGCTGTTGTTCGTTGAAAGCATTGTGTTAATATCTCCAAAATCTAATGTTAAATGGAAATTTAGTGCATCTAACAATATAAATTAATGCATATTTATTTTAAGTTATAACGCACGATTCTTTGGAGTGTTCCCGTTCACGGTGCCGCGAAGGACTACGCCTAGTGTAGTCGTTGAAATGCATGCTGTGTCCTATGCCGCCACCATACGCGGAACTACCAGTGGTCAGATACGGATTGTAGTTTAAAGAAGTGGTGCTGGTATATGGTAATGTTGACGTGCCATAAAGGCGTCGGTTGCTTAATGCATAATCCGAATTATATGTGGGCGTGTAACTATAATGACTATTCGACAATCTACTGTGATCGCGTCCAAGTGTTCGTGAAGTGGGAAAACGCGTCAATTGTTTGCTCTTATATCCGCTTGGTCGATAACACTCCAATTCGTCTGCCGCTGCATCGAATGCCTCACGTTCTATGCGCTCTGCGTTGACTACATCGCGTAAATATGGATTCCGTTCGGCGGCACGCTCGTTGATAAACTCACTTTTACGATTATGTAAGCGTTTGCTACGATCTAGCAGCATTCGTGTGCTGGCGTCTATTGTTTGTTCGGGCGTTTGAACAACAGGTATGTGTCGTAACGGACGTTTCGGCACACCACTGATCGAAGTATGCGTAGATGAGTTTTCAGCACTTGAGCGTGAAGAGCGTGTGCCGAAATTAAGCGAGGGTTCCGCAACAACATGGGATGTGATTGGCAAATCTTTGCGTAGATCTGAGATTGACTTTGACGATGTTTTGCCATCACTCAGTTCATCGGTAGCTAATCTATGCCGACTCGGTTGTGGTGAATGTGATTGCATTTTGCGGTATTTGCTTCTATTCTTGGATATATTTCTGATGAAATCATCGTCGTCAGAATGTTGTTCACTCTCTTCGTCGAATACCGTTTTGCCATCAGGCCATTTGCGATTACGAAAAACTTCGGCGACCGGTGATTTGGGTGCTGAATTGGCGCGTTTCACTTCGATCACTGTATCGGGTGAATCACTCATATCTATCTCAGGTGAAAGTTCCGCCTTAGGCCATGGCCTATTCTGAAAAACTTCGGCTATAGGTTCATTGATCTCTGGCAAAACTATGGGTTGCAGTTTGGTGGGAATTTTCAACTTTTGTGGCATCGGCGCTTCCCTCGCTTCACCATTGCTCATCAGCTCAATAAACGCGAATGAACTGCAACGCGAACTGAGTGAAGGTAAATCTTCTGTTTCCGTTGGTATTAAAAGCTTTTTAAAGTTTGGTGGCGTGATTTCTCTTTGAGTGCTAATACTTTCTTGTGTCCCACGACGCGAACTCATTGGTGTGGGTCGAGGTGTTGTGCACTTAGAGTTGTTGTTGCTGTTGATTTTATTACCCGCCTGTGGCCTATTTACTTTCGGTGTATTTGCATTCTCTCTTTCTTGTTTCTCCAATTCTTTATATTCTTTGTCACGTTGTATCAATGCTTGACGGCGCTCCATTTCGAAATCTTCTATTATACGACGTTCATCTGAGTCACTGCTATTAGAGGAAATATTATTCAGCAGTCTTATTGAACTCGTTGGTGACACATCTTTTATTCTAGCTTCGTCTAAACCACGACGTTCGGCATGGATGAATTTACGTCGTGGCATAGGGCTCGCCGGCATTTTAGTCATATCCCATTCCAACGATCGCTCCTTACTTGAGGCCTTGCTGGATGTTGGAACGCTCAAAATCTCATTGTTGTTTAATGACTTTGTATTATCTTCATTCAAATTGTCTGTATGATTCGTGGTCGTGGATTGATTCTCAGCTGAGTCTGCATCACCCAAAGCCTGAATTAATTGGCGTTGCATCAATGGAGAGTTAGAAAGGTCCTCATTTGAATTTTGCGTGATCGGAGAGTCATTGAGAGTCGGTACCTTTTCACTGCTAGTAGAAGATTGTGATGACTTCCGTTGTAATGACGGACTCTGTTTAAGGGGTGGGGTTTTTGGTTTTAAGACTGAAGATTTTGAAAGCTGCCTTGGTGTGTTAGAAATCGCTTCGGTTTCAATTGTTTTTACGTTTATTGCGGATTGCGTATAATTCCGCTGCATTGCTGGAGATTCGGTTGCATTACTCGTTTTTTCATCAATCACGGTCTGTGATTTTCTTCGAAGAACAGTTGGAGATTCATTTAACGGACCTTTTGATCGATTCATGGATACCTCGGTACTTACAGGTATTTCACGAATTATATTCGTGATATCTTCAGCTGGTTGCTGATTCTTAGAATCGTTGGCTCTACTTTCTTCGACTTTTATGGTTTGCACGACATTGATCTTCCCATCTCTCTCTTCTTTTATTTTTCTAACGTTTGAAATTTCTACAGGTATATTATTAATAGGTAGTGCCTTATTGGCCAAATTATTTGAACTCTGTACATCGTTCGCATTTTCAGATATTGGGCTTGATCGTTGAACAGAGGCTGGCTGATTCTGGTAATGGTTTACTTTCACATCTTCTAATTCATCTTCCGATATGTTACGTGGGAACTTGTGTATTGAAATGCCACCAGTTGCTGCTAATTCAGCAGTTAAACTTTTTGTAAATGTTGTTTGCATTAAATCCTGCACCGATGGTGGCATATTGTCGGGACATAATTTCGCTAATTTATGTTTGATGCGTTGTGGTGCGATGGGCGCTGAAGCCTCGCTGGAGGATGAGGTACTTTTCTGACGGCGCTGCGGACGAATGGGGAAAGGCATTTCTTGGGGATCCATATAAAGCATTGACTGTATACTCTCGAGAGTTAAGGGTGCTGCTTTGGAAGCTGAGACATTGTAGAAGGGTTTTTGAAGAGCACTAGACGTGGTACTTTCATTATTTTCATTCTCGGCTGTTTTTATATTTTGGTTCGCGGTATGGTGTTCTCCATATCCTTCGGCTGCTATGGATTCAGATGATCTTTTAGGTGATTCCATTGTAGCAAATTTTATTAAGGGAACCTCATCCTTTTCTAAAGACTCAAGCCGATCGACAAAATCCGCGTCCTCTTCGATCGCAGTGCTCTGCAATGGTATGCGTGGTGTGATGCCCACCAATTCGTCGTTCGAATCAAATTCCACATTCACCAGCATTTCATCTGAGAACTGACTAAATAACTTTTCGATGCTTTCATCTTCTGACGAACCACGCATGCGGACTGTAGTCGGTGCGGCACTAGGACTTTTACTAATTGACGTACACAACGAATCACATTCCTCTTCCGTATTGGCATTTTGATCGATGTGTTCGTTAGCTAGGCGTTCAACAATATTTTCGAACAATTCATCCACATTTCTATTATCTGATGCGGAATTTTGTGTTAGTTTTGTAGCTACAGTATCTAGTTTTTCAGCCAGAGAGACATCTGAACATCGTCGTGAATGTAAACTTGCGGCGGAATTGCGGCGTGAATTGCTCAGCGATTTGTCACAACCTGTTTTTGGTAAATTTTTTATGTCCTCTACGGTTGGTCGTCTTTTTAAGACCGGTGTATCCGGTGCTGAACTATCAGAATTATTGGAGTTCTGGCGCGATAAAGTTTTGCTGTGGATAGCTGTTTCACTAGCAGTGACCGCACCGCCATCGAGAGTCCCATTCGAAATGATTTGTGTATTTGGTTCGCAAGGAACTTGTGCCTCAATAATATTCGGGTGAGGAACTGGCGCTTTCTTGGCTTCTGAGTTGATTATACTACCCTTTTCCACTAATAGTAAGGTTTCGAAGTCTTCCATTTGACTTTTAGGCGGCGATATCGACTTCTTTGCTACTACTGCTGGTTTTGAAAGCTTTTCGGAGTTGTTCTTTTTGTTGGCGGTAGTGTTACTTAGAGTTTTTGTTGGTGAAGGCGACTTACGTTTGGCAGTTTTTGAATTAACTTGCAAATGGGTAGACATTTTTGTTTTCATTTCAGTGGTTTTCTTTAAGTTCTTGCTTGGCGATGGTGACTTCTTCACTGCGCCGCCATTAACTAAAGCCTTCTTTATAGTTGCCACACTTTTCTTTTCAGGTGATTTTGTTTTAATGTTTTCAGGAGATTTCGATTTGATACCGAAAAACTTGGCAAACTTGGACTCCCGATATTGCACTGGTAAATCTTCGTATTTAGACTTTTTCAATGCTTCTGTTTTGGCTGCCGCTTCTTCCTCCTCAATCGCACGTTTCTTCGAAAAGAAGTTATCGCGTTTCTTTTGTAGAAAATTGGTTGCTTCATTACGCCATTCAGACTTCAGATACTCCATGGTCTTCTCCAAATCACTCATTGAGTCGGACTCACGTGACATGACAGAATCATGGGAAATTAGTGACTCCCGCGACTTGTTTAAATTGCTCATGGTTGACTCCATACGCCGCAGCTTGAACGATTGCTCCGAAGATTTAACTGAACTCATTGATTCGAAACGTGCCAGTAAACCTTGTACACCAATGGGACGATCGCCGTCCTCCTTAGTTGTCAGTTCATCGTTCGCCATGCTTCTCTCTTTTGAAAGTCGCTCGAATTCCCCTTCCCCCAGTGATTTGGTTTTCAGCAATCGCTTTTTATTGCTGATTGTTGCCGGTTTGGCTATGCTTAAATCTATGATCGTTTCTTGGAACATTCGTTCAATTTTATCTGAAATATCTTCACTAGGTGATTTTTCTTCCTTGAATAGCTTCAGATATTCTGCACTGGGTGAATGCATTTCCTTATCGCTGGATTGTAGAATTTCATCTAGCACACGATCAGATTCATCACGTGGTACAATTGACTTGTTGTCTTGCACGATATTGGTTTTTTTCGTTGCGTTTCCTCCTACCTTCTTTTTGGGCACAATCTTTTTTATTATCTTTACATTACCCTTCTTTGTTACAGCCGCCGTTGCAGTTGTGGTTGTGACGGTGGCTTGAACGCTCTTTGTTACAGCATCTTTATTCACCACGGCTGGTGTACCTTTCTTTGATAAGTCAACGGCGCCGTCCAATTGATGGTCGCGTAAACTGAAATCAGCATTTCCCAGTGAAGCTTGTCGTTTTGGCGTAAGCTTGTTGACCTTAACCGCCGTTGTGCTTTTATTGCTTGCATTTGTTGAGGTAGTCGGTGCAGGCGCAATGGCATTCTCCGTTTGCGACTTCTTCAACTTGTCTGCTACTGTCACTACGGCACTGCGGCGCTGTGGCGTCGGACTACTGGGAAAATATTTCGCTAAATCAACATCCTTTAAATTTTTTTGGTTTTTATTGACCGCAGCGGCATTTGTTTTCTGTTGCTTTTGATCGGGAAAATATTTGGAGAGATCTACGGATGGGTTTGCTTGCGAACTAACAGTGGGCACGACCATTTGCGATTTTATGGCGTCCATTGTGCCAGAGAAACTCTTTGCTTCGATTTCCTTCAACTTTTCCTGCATCAATCGTCTGTCGACCTTTGGTGAAAATTTACTCTCCGCATCATAAAACAGTTTACCCATATCTGAATTCGACCTATTAGGACCAAATCCCTTATCTTTGTTATCAGTATTTGATTCCATATCCTTTTTATTATCAATACTCTTCACAAGACCCAATAGGTTTTGTATTTGCATTCGGCTATCATTTGCTATGACCTCGTCCTTAGATGTGAATTTTTCCGAACGCTTAAGACTGTTTGTACGACTGACTGACTGTTCGCCACTTTTTGCTGATTCTTTGTTTTCCTGCGTAGCTTTGCTCTTAAAACTATTGGAGCGACTAGCGCTTGCACTAGGCTTTTTGCTAGCGCTGGGACTGGCAGTCGGACTTAGCTGTTGTCTTTTAAGACTGCTTTGGCGATTGAGCGAAGCTGATTTGATTTCTGCTTTTAAACTCGCCAACACTTCTTCAGGTGAAGTGGCTTTTTGAGTCGCGGCTGATTTTTTAATATCTGTGCCAGCATTCTCGTTACTTTTTTCAGATTTCAATTCGGTCTTTAACTTCTCTAACACACATTCAGCCAAAGTAGCGGTAGACTTTTTTATATTCTCATCAGTTTTCGCATTTTCTTTTTGCTCTTTTAGCACATCCTGTTTTGGCGCAAAGCGATTTTCAAATGCTGACTTGGGTGCTAGTGCATTTGAGTTGCTCGCAGAGTTGTCTGCCAACCACTTTTCTTTCATTGTCAATTTCTTGAGTATATCGCTCTTTACTAAATTTTCTTTAGCTATGGTTTCGATATCCTTACTCATTTTGACCACATTGTTGAGGCGATGAAGTTTCTCATTGATTGCCTCAATTTCGGCGCTAAAGCGGCGTCCAGTGCTTTGTTCCAACTTCTCAATATCCGCTTTTGTGGGTGGTGGCCCTTTAGAGAAGGCGTGTGTGGTAAGTGGTGATATGTTACCGGCAAATGAATCTACCGACTTGAACGATTTTTCAGAGTTATATGAATTTTCGGAACACTTATCTATATCTGGTTTAGAGTTTTGCTTTGAGACAGACTGGTTAACAGCCTCATCATCTACCGGAACCGGAATCATTTCTAAATTTTCAATGCTTTCATTATTTTTAGTTGGCAAATGAATCTATATTGAATAATTTTTTTGTTTTTTTGTAGATTTGTGGGGAAATTAGATTTAGTACAAGTTTGTGTGATAATAATGAAACCAACACCATTAAATTATGTATTTGAGGGTGAGTATATGTGATCACAATTGATAGAAGAAAGTAAATATAAAATTAATAATGGTTTATTGCACGAATTAATAAAAGAACTTAAGCTAGTTCAATATCAATGATTAAAACTCACCTCAGTTTCCGTGTCAGTGGGCAAGTTCGCGGGCAGTGGCTGTAGGCGCACTTCTTCTCGACGTAGTTCACGAGCCTTCTTGAAATCTTCACCTTCGGTATCGTCCTTACCATCGTCATCTGAAAACAGTTAATGCAAAGCAATTGTAAATAAATATAATTTAATTATAATTTATCAGTCAATGCGAGTAATAGACGAATTTACTTAATGTGATTATTATTGTGCATCTGGAAAACTCACCCGCAATTCCGTCACTCGAATCATAAAAATCATCCGAATCATCACTATCGGAATAATGCTGTTTGCCAATCCAATCGGTGGCCAATTGTAATGTTTGTGCGGCCAATGGTGAGTCATTTGCCTCTTCGAACATATCTGCATCGGACTCGGTATCCGAGTCATCAGAACTAGAGAGATCCGACTCTGAATCTTGATTAGATTCAGGCAAGAAATTTCTGCCCGACCACTCGTGCTCATCGAGTATATGCTCCTCCGAAGGTTCACCATCGGACATGGCATCGGTATTCTCGAATTCGATACGTTCCGGTGTTTGGCCACGATCCAATAAATCGAGCTGTACAACGCTGTCAGCGGGGCCACGAAGTTTATCAGGCGTTTTGGGTAGGTCTATTTGTGTGATTCCACTTGCAGCGTCCGCTGTTGTGACGGTAATGTCGACGGCAGCAGCTGCAGCGGCGGCAGCTTGTTGTTGCTGAGTGGGCTTCTGAAATTACATTGTAATTGTTTTTATGCATGAATATGCATAAATAAATTAGTGATATTTACCCTTTGACCTGGTTTTCTGACTACAGGACGTATAGCCTTTGCTGGCAGCTTAAAATGTTGCGTACAGTAGAAACGTCCATTTGGATCGTCGCGATCGAATGCATAGCCGCCGAGACGCAAATTTGTGTGACAGTGATGACACTTCAGACACGAACGATGAAATACGAGATCTTCGGCTGTGATTTTTTCCATTAAGTAAACGATTTGCTTGCAGAAGTGGCACTTTTCGGAAGCGGCTTGCTTTTTAAATGCCAACGCGACCTTAGCGCTCTGGATGGTGAAAAATATAACTTTTATTAGTATTTTATTGTATACAATGATATTAAAAGCGCTTAACGATATGATTAATGATAAAAAATAGTGAGCTCAAATGTTATTAGAGTGTGAGTGGTTGTATGGCTATGAATTATGTGCAAAGATGAAAGGAATACTTCGGAATGGAACTTAAATGCTAATTAAAAGAACCTTTAAACCTCGATGCATTGACGCATAGCATTACAACAAGAACTACAATAATCATTTCGAAATATTTTCCAGCTTCAGGAAATACGAGGTCTTACAGATGCATTGATAAAATATATACACAAAATATTAACAAATAAAAAATCAATCAAATGAAAAACGTTGGATAAAACGACAAAGCAATAACTAAAATCCAAGCAACACAAAATCAAAATGATCACCAAAAAGTCGACTTCACTGAACTGCTTCTGAAGTAAAGTGCAGCTAACAGCACGTAAGCATAGCCATAATAATGTCGACTGCAGTATAGATTAAGTTGTATAATTTCAATACCAAAGTGGAACTTATGATGGTTATGATTGTGCGTCAACGTCTTCAGAGCAAATTAACTGTAAAGTCGACCCAACAAGCGCATTACTCACGGATTTCGGCACGCTATTGACAGCGGCGGGATTAGGATTCTTTTCGTCGCTCGTTTTATCGTCTTTCTTAACAAATTGACCAGCAATTGATGCGACCTTGTTGCGGCCGCGTTCACCAACTTCCAGTATGGAACCCTCCTTCAGCTGTTTATCCAAATTCTTTAAGGTTTGATCAATTTCTTTGAACTTCTCCTCCACAGATTCTTGGCGCGTTGGTTTTGCCATTTTATTTTGTCTAGCCAAAAATTGTTCTTTACTCCATTTCGGCACCTTTTCACGTCCTTTCGGACCATGTATTTCAGTTCGTTTTGATTGTTCGATTTTCTTTTCGATTTCGCGCACATTCCAATCGTTGCTGCCGATCTTGCCAATGGCACGCATTAAATCTTTGGGCTTCTTATCGTTGCCGCAAGCTGTCTTCGAACTTATGCGTTGCTCCATAGATTTGATGCGATCACTAAACTGTTCATCTGGATTATTTCGCGGCATGGCCGATGGTATATCGCCGCGATTGCGATCCTGTACATGATAGTTCGTTGAATTTCACAGTTCGTCGGAGGTAGGGAAGTGGAAATGGGGAACAGTATGTGGAATTTTAAATTTTAGCAAAGTAAAATGTAGGAAAGTTGGTCGGAAAGGTTTTTATATATGAAGAAAAAGAAAAAATTATGATTTCAATATAAAAAATTATAGCATTTGTAAATAAGTTTTACAACAATCTAAATGGCACTTAATATTAAACAAAAGAGGTACAAAAACAATAGAACTTAAAACACTCTTAAACTAAAATTAATTAAACAGCGAAAACAAAACAAATTTCTAATTATACACGAATAAATTAGTCGCTTTCACTGGTTAGTTGCGAATACACAGAAACCCACAAAACCAAACATAACCGATTTAATGATTTCACATACAAATTATTACAAGGGACTCCATTGTAAAAGAAAAAAAGTATAGATTTTATGTCCACAACAATACTTAGTCGTGGCAGCTTTTATATCAAAAACTATTTTATATAGAGAAATCGCTCCAAACTGCGTTCAGCATATTATACCATGTGACTATATAACCATTTTTTTTTTTTATAATAGCTGTCGCCTGTATAATCTTGAATGCTCTTGTAGAAAGCAATCAGCTGTCCGGACAACAACTTAAAGTAACACATTTGAGTAAAAGCATTATAATGTAAACTAGTTACAAATAGGAAAAGTTCGGCAAAGCAGCGAACAGAGCCGTAACGCCAAATTATTAAAATTATTATTGTTATTATTTAATAACTTCAGAATTTATAATGAAAAGTATCTATGGTATACAACAGAAAATTAGGGAAGTTTACATAAAAAAAAAAACTTTTTTTGTAAATTAATAATGAGGGCCAAAAAACCTTTAGTAAAAATTAAGAATTTCAGTAATTCAGATATATTATTTTCTGGTTATAAAAAAATAGAGTTCCCACGCAAACAGCTCAGGTCTATACCCTTTCAGGGCACAACTAATGAAAAAACTGCTTTTCGCGGATAAATAAGTATTCATTTAATTAATGAGCAATTGTGTTATTCAAAATCCAAACAGCATGTTATTAAAATTTCTCAAACAAAATTCTGAAATCTCAGTTTAGAAGATATTTCATTCAATATTAGTTATCAACGAATAACGGCGATTATTGCAACACTCAAATTCAGCAGCATTGCGCGAGTGCTAAATAGGTTAGCAGGAGCATTTAGAACATGTAAATAGCATTACACCATTCACGCGATCAAACATGGTGGCAGGCAGAAGTGTAGGCAGGCAACAGTAAACAAGAAAAGTACAACAACTTTGACTATCTTACAGGATACAGCAATTTGCGCTCCAAATCCTTGACGCGATCATTGAATTCCGGCGCATGTTGGCGATATATGAACAGTGAGTAGTCCTCAAATGCGGTCGGATCATCAGTTTCACGCAGCAACGTGTTGACTTGCAACATTTGCAAGCTCTTGTAAAAGTTCTGCGTCTGTTGATAACGTTGTTGTCGACGTTTGCTTACCCGCTCCTGACGATTTTGTTCGATTTCTTGTAGACGCTTTTGTCGTTCTTCCTAATAATTCGTAATAACAGCAATTGGCAAATTGAGCAGAGGGTCATTAGGGTGTACATATACTTATTAAATACATAAAGGGACCTGGCGATTGATTACGAACTGCTTCGAAAGGATATGCACAAACGTAAAGTGAGTAAATGAATATATGGGTTAATATTTGTATGGGGTTTTTTGTTTTTAATGAAAACCAGAGATGAACGAGTAGGCAAAAGCAAACATTTGTATGAGTGAATGTAGTCATATTAGTAAAACGAATGGAGGTACGAAAAATGGAAAAACCATGAGAGTACATCAATAAAATATGGTGAATACCTCAGAATGTAAATCTGAAAGCTCATTTATGACGATGCATGTACTCTGATGACGGTCTAGCATAATATGAACCTTATGAAAATAATAATACACAAGCGTTTCGGTATGTTTTGTTTTTCAAATGGAATTATTTACAAATAATAATCATCAGATGCGATAAGATATACATATGTTTGTATGTAAAACTGAAAATATATGTAATTTTGTCGAGTATTGTATGTTTTGAAAAGTGATCGTGACTCGCTGATTAAAACAGCATTAGCAAATCGTTTTTAAATTTTGAAACTTGTTGTTCTAACAATTTGTGTTCTAATAAAAGTATTTTTTGTATTAAAATTAATTAATTTGATTCATTTGATATTTTGTATTATTTGGTCAAATTAATTTTAAAGTTATTCAAATCACGTAATTCAATAAAAAGTGAAAATATAAAAACGTAAAATATTAACAATTTCGAAATGTTTATTCATTTTTAAGGATTCCTGAATGTATGCTTAAACTTCTTCATTTAAAGTTCAATTTTACGTATGTTATGCTATTACTGACAATTTCGATTGCAGAAATTTTATTTAGATCACTTTTCAATGTCTGAAAATGTAATTTACAATAGCATCCTTTATTACCGCAATTGTGGTACTCACAATATTAGCAGCCTTCTCGACATTTCTTCTCTTCTTGGCACGACGCGGTGTATCGTTTTGACCTGCAATGAAGATATTTAATGAATTTTTTAATTTTGATATTTATTGCAATGTTTCATACCTTGTTGTGGCGAATTAGCTGCAGCCGGCTCATTTCTGCGCACCCGTTTTACACGCTCCTCATCCAACACCGAGCGACGTTGCACCACTTGCGGCACGTCCACCATATCCTCAATGGGACTCTTTGTTTTCGGATATTTCGGCTTAGTCGAAAGTTGTAACAATTTCGAGAAGTCTGGCTGCGCATGCGCGTTGTTAATACGGTATTTTTCGCGCAACTCTGAGATGTCCATCTTTGGATGTTTCAGATACGGCACTTCACCGCGAAACACTTCACGCACTTGGTTCAAATAGTGTAGCCAGTGACGTGTATCTACTTTCTCTAGATCTACAGACTTCTCACCGCTCATGATGCGTGGCAGTTGGTATTCTGCTTCTAATATTCTGAAGGCAACTTCATTACGTTCAGCCAGCGTTAAGTCACGTGTTGCTGAGTAATCGATTAAGTCTGGCCGAAAACTATGAATTGTTTAAATGAGAATAGAAATTTACAAAATGCATTTAAAAAAACAACATGACAATATTGACTACCGGCTGATTAAGGCGCATAGTGATTTTCCATTTTTAAGTATGTCGGCAGGTTCCTGTAATTCCTTTACGAAATCGTACATATGGAGCTGAGTGCAAACCCAATGTAGCAGAGCTTCAGGCACAATATCTTTAAGAATTTTAAAAATTATAAATAATTGCTAAAAGGCATATGAACCAAGTATTAATGTAACGAATGAATATTTTTGACTTTATTTTTAAAAGAGACAAATACAAACAATTCTGTGGTAATAAAATTAAGTCAAGAAAATTATTTGATCGGTAAAATGTTTGCATTTATTCATTCATTACAGTTAATACAGTGAAATTTTAACAGTCTGTACTTGCCGTCCATCTATGCAAGACATACCTGTGCTACGACGGGATTTACGCAACAATGCTGGGGCCTCAGCTAACGCTGGCGTTGTTATAATTTCGGCTATTGGCTGCTCGAATACTTTTGGATCATCCGAGTCAATGAGCGTTTTCACCTGGTAGGGACTGACGGCCGTGCGATTCAGATTGGGATACCTCGAGGCTGGATCTACCGTATAAGAACCTGTGTCTCGCTGTAAATTCTCCGGTGTGGTTTGATTGAGTAGCCTAAATATAAAACATATTCAAGTTTTATTTCATGGTTGACTTTTCTATTTCGTTAATGCCATTGGTACTACTTTATTTCACCTGTATATACTTTCACGCTGCGCCACAACGCCCAGAATACTATTACGCGGGTTTGACCAGAGTTTTGTCGCATACGCGGCATCCATGCTGGAAAGGAAACCACGCGCACAGCCCGAACCAGTGGGCCAGAAGGGCTCCAGCAGGCTGTCACCCACCAAGCATTGCAACAAACGATGGCCGTGCCGCAACATCACCCGGCAGGAAGTTTCTGCGGCGAACATAGATGTGAAATCGAACATGGCGACATCGGGTTTGCCATAATGATTCACAGCGAACTCAAGATTTGGCATTTGGTACTTTGTGGAGAATTCGGCCGCTTCTCGCGCATAATCGAGCAACTTTTCGGCGCTTACGTTGGCTGAAGCGAGCAGTTCCGCCGGATCGGAGAAATCCTAAAGAGTTGAAAGTTTTTTTTTTTATAATTTCAAATGATTTATGTTAATTTCTACCTCACCTGTAATATAACACCTTTGTCAATGAGACTGTGTTTCTTCGCGGTCATAACAAAGTAGTGTGTCTCGTCCTTATAATAGACGATATTCTCCAAATCAATGCCCGTTTTCTCATATAGCTCCTTGAAAAAGGACTGATTGAATATAAACGCCACGCCGCTTATCTCCTCCGCTTTAGCCTCTGCCTCTGTTTTCTTATTTATAAAATTGGCTGTAATTGCAATAGCCAGCTTTCCACGAAACTCCTTTCGTTTAAATCCTTCCAGTGTGTTACGTTTACCATCGGCTCCGATTAAAACATCGAATTCATAATATGAAACCACATGATCCGCTGGTGTTAAAGCCGCGCGCCAGCCAAAGCCATCGCCACTTGGCTCAATTGTCCTCTCGAAGGACACATTCTCATGTATCTCGACACCCAACAGCAGCGCAACCTTCATTAATATGATTTGCAACTGCCGAATGGATATGTGATCTATGGAACCAGCACAAAATTTTCCATAAAATTTCTTTGCACCCAAATTGCGCAGATCGGTGATGACGAACGGCCACAAGTGCAGCACATTGTTGCGCGTAATGCGATCGCGCTTCTCAAGCACAACGACTTTCGCACCCAACAACTGCGCCTCAATGGCGGTGCGCATGCCACATGGACCTGCGCCAATGACTAGCACATGCGTGCCATTGCACGCTGTTCCTTTCGCGTAGACGCGATGCGCCGCACGTGCATCGAACTTCTTCCATAGCGCCTGCGCTTTCCACGAACGAATCTTCGCCTTCAACATCGGGTAGAATTCATTGATCGGGGCTGGTCGTAAGCCCAGTATGTCGCACATGTCACGATGCAAACCCAAAATCTGGCGCATTGTTGTTGCGACGCAGAAGAGATCGAAGAGCTCGGAGGCCGCGATGGCCTCCTGCTCGGTAAGGTACTGCTTTGGCGGCTTCTGTTGTGGCATTGTGCGTTGCTGTGTTGGACGACTCATGCTGAAAATATAGAGCGGAAAAATACAATAGTTTAAAAATTTTGATACACAGGTGAATAAAAAAATGTTTATTAAAAGTTTTTACAGATTTAGCAATAATTTGTACTGCAATGCTAACGCTAGAGAGAACTATGTATTATGGCCAGCAATAAACTGTTTAAGGTAAAATACCCAACCTGTGCATGCCCATTTACTGATTGCAGATATTTATCACATACATATTTGCGCAAAAACAACAAGGGTCGTACGAAGCTTCCCTACAAATGGTGTGCTCGTAAAATGTAGACAGAACAGGCAAAAAAATAAAAATAATTGTGTTTTCGATATGTACGCAAATTCTCTTTGTGTTTTGGAAGCTCCTCCTTAAAACGAGTCTAAGCATTTCTGATAACTGGCATATCCATAGCTGGCAATGAGTCACTGACCAACCCAACAAGAAAACGTTGAACCGTTCGAACCATGTAAAAAGGAGACAAAAACAAATCACGCACAGAAAAAATACTATGTAAATACGCACAATTTAAAGCAACGGTAAAGAGCGAGAAGTGCCAGAAAATCAAATTCATCAAAATTAATAAATGCGCTTTTAGCAAAATAAAAAACTCTTGAAGACATCACTTAGTAGCCACACGCACTCATTCATTTATCACCGGGACCTTTTGCGAGGCCAGGTCACTAGTTAAAGGTTGAAACACACCGTAGTTTATATTAATAACATACATAAGTATGCGACAGGTACTTTTTGGCAGAAATGCACACACATGTTTGCACAAACAAATTGTTGTTTTCAAAACTGTATATAAGCATACATACATACATACATTTGCATATGGGTATGTTGGCTCACGATTTAAAAGGGATCTAAGAACAAAACACTGGAACTCTTAAAGCAAATTCTCGAAGAGCAAATACTAAAAACAAAATCCGTTCGGATAATTTTTAGCCGATATAAGATAATATATTTATGTCTTTTAGTCTAGAAAAAGAAAATTTACAAAATTTCGTGAGAGCAAAAATTCATAAAAGTTAGTAATCAAACACAGTTTCATTAACAGTCAGCTGTTTTTATAACTTTCTGCGATCTTCTAAAATTTTCTGAACAAGAACTGAAAGCGTCGCAACCAAATGAATTTAAAGAAAAAGAAACTCATGTGGCTATTCAATTGCAATCCGATCACATCTTGCTCGAACCGGTAACGGTAAATTTCCTTCCAAGTTCGTAAATTTCAAATTATTTGTTGTCCTAGTAAATCGTAGTTTTAGAGTTAGAGGGATAGAAGAGACTTACAGCTTATATTACCAAGGAACTCAAAACATTTTACTTCGGGCAACAAAGATTATAAATGTACATATGTACAATCGTAATTACCATAATTCCTACGTACGAAAAACAAGCATCTGCCACCTGAAGAAAATGAGGGTCATCCCGTGTGAAGTCTATGACAAGTGTGCGGAATTTTCTCATTTACTTTTGATATTTATTTTAACAGCTGTTTTTATCACGATCAAAGCACCATTTGACAACCAAAACAAAAACAAATTTCATGCTCTCCAAAAAGCATAACCGATATAGTACATATCTACATACAAATCTATTTACATACATATGTATATACTTATTCCTATTTATGGTATATACCAAATTAAGTACGTTTATATGTATGTAGTTCTGTGGTCATTTGATTTCGTTGGCATGTGCTGGTTTGGAGCAACGCCCGCAATGCTTGGCGCCCAAGTGTCACATTAGCGAATCCTCAAAGGAGGCTAGCGACAAACAAGCACATGTAACAGCCCTTTACCGCTCCCAAAATAAAAGCGTTTGTGGAAATGGCTGATTCTGCCTTGGCTTATTGATTTTCTCTGTGGAAAAACTCGCAACAACAAGAGAATGTTAGAATTTCTTTGCTCCGGCAGGCGTCATATGGAAGGAAAATTTTAGTTTACTCTTTGTTTAAATTTGCGCATTCTTAATAATATTTTTGTTGGGGCAGACAACATATGAATGACACAAATAAGCTTTTCTGGTGTCAGAGCAATTTGCGCGGGAAAGGGGTTGCTTTGCGTGGGTGGTGCTGACGAGGCTTCTCGTGGTGATTCATCGCCGACAGTAAAATGTGCCATTTCAAATGTGAAAATTGTACATTAAAATACGTTTGCACGTATTAAAATCGATGCGAATTTAAATAATAATTCACAACAAGAGAAAACAGAAAATTTCTAAACATTTCGGACATAACAACAATTTTGGAGCTGCTTTCAAACTTTTATATATTTTTACAGAATTTTTGAGCGAAGAAATGTAAACATTTCTATGAACAAATCCTTGTAAATATTTCCTCATATGTAACGAGAGAAAAAATTGGGAGGCGGGAGAGTGTCCGCTCTAACCAAGGAATACTTAGAAAAATATTCAATTAGCGTTTTGGAGTAGAAACTATTTTCACAATAATCTATTTAAAATCGGTCGAAATGAACTTTTTTATTATATATACATTTTACAAAAATTGTTTCGGTTTTCAATTCGGATCAAACATTTACGTTCGGTTCGCTCACTTTTCCAATCGTATTTACTTAAAAACCATTTATTATCTCTGGTTTTCAAAATGTCATACAAGTACGTTTTTTAATCGATTACAAAAGCTAAAATTGATCATTTGAAGTTAGTAAAACATTATACCGTACGAATGATTTATCAACTAAATTATTTCAAAGAAAATATTCAGATTAAGTGTAGATATGTTAGATATGAAATAATCGGAGAGATAAAAATTAGACTGATTTATGAAGAAATGAGGATATACATACATATATGGCAAAAATGCATCGATGATTCAAGTAATTAAGGCAAATATTGATCTAGCAATCTGCAATCTGAACAAAGTAGTATTCCAAAAATAGCATTTAATAGAATGAAATAATGTATATATGAAATTAAAATTTAGTTTTCCCATTTGTGTGCTCACAAAATTATAATATAGTATGTAATTATTAGGTGCGAATTTAGAAATGGGTATGAGTGTCTATACATAAGTACAATCGCTATTACAGACCAGTGGTTCAAGGTGATTGTTGCATTGGAGAATAATAGAACCGCATACTCAATACAAGCGACCTTGATTTCGTTGGTTTTTGCAATGTATTTGCAGGAATCAATACAGATTCCGTATTGCCTTAGATAGCGAAATACTACAGAAAGTGTTCGCTGATTCATATAAACAGTTCTGAAAATACCATTTTTCGCAGGAAACACTCAATTTTCATTTATATGCACGTGTTTAAACTGTATACCATAAATATGCATAAGTTCAAAATATTTTTTGTAAGCAGATGCATTCATCTAATTTTTTGGCATAGTCACACCGGAAATATAGATCCATCAAATGTGGTCGGAAATATAACGCAGAATTGTTAAAAATTTGTAAACATTTTGAGCGCACGGTTGCATTTATGGTACGAAAGTTGTCAAGTTTGTCGCCATACTTTGTGAGTATAGAACACCAATTGGTCATTGGGATTGGCAACTGGCCAAATAACGAGAGATATGGCGTAACAAATTTACAAAATATCTTCATCTTCTGTCCTATTTAATATTTGTAAAACTAAATTATTTCAATTGTAAGATAATTAAAGAACATTCCTTTTTCCAGATGGCAAGTCAAAGCAGAACAGCAAGAAGTTTTGTCCAAGCAAATTTATTAAATAAATATAGTAAATACCTCTAACAAAAAACAATGAAAGATCATTCAATGTAAGCATGGCAAAAAAAATTTTCCGGAACCCATAAATTATATTGTACGAAATCTTTCCTTAAATAAATACCTCGTAATATAAATATTTTAAATATCGAAGTTTCTGAAATTCGAATAAATAACCTAGGAAACACTGAAACATAATATTACTAAATCAAAAAATTTACAACTCTATTGAGTAGTAAAGTAAATTGGTCTCTTGAACCTTGAGAGTAAGTATCATACTCTATAGAGATTTTAGTGAACAAAGTTTGCTTATAGCGATTTACTTTTAATTATGATATTTAAATAATTTCTGAAGTTTGTACATAGTAATGTAATCAAAACTTGAACGTTATGGCAAATGTATTTGAAATTCCTAACCCAAAAATCATATTTATCATGTATTGATAAAAGAAATATAATCCAAAGAAAATAGTTCGTGATAATGCCTACATACGAGTATGCATAAACAAAGATATGAATATTCACGTTAATGCCGAGCGATAAGAAAAATGCGTGTACTTGAAGAAAGCCCAGTAAGTGCACTTTTACACAGGGACTCTTTTGAGTCTCAAACCAGTTTATTGTGGGCGAGGGGACGACGAGGAAAGACGAAGGGTCCGTGCCACTCGTGTTCGGATGGCACGCTTTGTGTTCTTGTTCGTAACAGCTCGCTGCTACCCTTTTCAGCATTCCTTTTCACTTTCAAATCCTTTGAATGGTTGCAAGAGCGCTCGGTTTCAAATGAATTCGATCGCAAATTTGAGTTCTGTTATCTATTTTTGTATGTAATATGCAAATACGTATGCATAGAATAATAGATATATTATGACAAATTGTAAATAAGGAGAAAATTAAGATATAGATTATGGAGTAAAGAAATTATGAATTTTGAATACTTAAAGATTAGGAAATTCCTATTATAAATTTGGCCTTGAAAATATTAGTAGCGGATATTCAATACATTCTTGTGGATTAGGAAATCCGTCTTTAGTATTTCTTTGAAACTATTTAGCGGGTAGGTTCTTGTATTATGCATATTGCTCTACCATATTCATGGTAATTCGTTGCAAGCAAAATGTGTGACCATCATCTCAACATACAAATGAAATACGCAGCACGCAGTGCTGCGCAGTCGAACCGCACAAATATTTACGAAAATTTTGTGAAAAGAAATGCAGAAAAACTAGACTCGAGTTGCTGGACTCTTTTTGACCGTGTGAATGCCCAGAGCGACACCAAAAGAAAATTTGAAAAAACTCAGACTCTT